TCTTAATTCATAAAACTATAGCTTTTTAAAAGAAGAATCATCTTCAACTTGCTATTCTGATTAACCAATTTTTCTTGCAGATTATTATGAGGACTTTTTAGCACTCTGTACAAGTCCTTTAAGATACAAATACAACTCAATAGTGCTTCCTTCAGTAGTCAGTGACATCCCCCATTCACAGAATCTAGCTGAAACTCAGTAACTAGATATTCAAGATGCTGAGAAATCATGCCTCTCTAACTTGTGCATCACAATGAAGCATTATTACCAAGGGTAGTCCTGGGAGATGTGCCCCATACGTGGAAGACATGACAGAATGGTTGCTATACTAGACTCAAGGATGCCAACCGTCACAAAGAAGGTGCAGGACTGGGCGGCCTTTTGTTCTGCTCTGCACAAAGCCACCACAAGCTGGTGCTCACTCGAGAATATCTAGCCACCAAACATAACACCTTTATTATTGTAACCTTGTATGCCACCGTTGCCTCCCCGTTAGTGGAATTTGCCGTCCCTTTGCGCATGCTGTTTCTTTACCTGGAATTTTTCCATTTGACAGACTCCTACTTAACCTTCAAGAATCAACTTCCACTTCATTTTCTCACTGACATCTTCTCTGACAAGTGGTTAAGTCATAATGGCAAAGCACTTTAGAAATGTCCTCGATAAACTACTCTGTTTCCCTCCACAGTCCTACTAGACCAAGCGGCTTGAGTGCATGGATGACCTCTTCATCTTTGGGGGCCATCCTACCTAGAGCAGTGCTTGGCATATGGTGGCCATTCCAGAGAGGACTGATGAGCACATAAGAGCCTCCCTTAGTGTCTAATTTAAAAAGCAGAGAGGCATTTGGTAATGAAAAGAGCTTGATTGTCTCACTTAGACAAGCTAGAGAGTTACTCTGTCAAACTCCAAGGGATTTTGCCTCATAGCCTGTAATTATATTTAGCAATTCTCTCCTTCTCTCACTTTTACTCAAACCCAGTAAGAAATTATCAACTATATGTTGTCTCTGTATAATAGTTATCAGAGCTCACTGACCTAGGACTAACAGGGCACACACATCCCAAAATTGACTCAGAGGAAAGCTTTGTGAACTCCAATATTAACACAGAGGTCAGAATATTACAGATAAGTCACAGCTCACTTTTCCTAAGGTTTTTGAGACCATGTTGGAATTAATCTCTTATGCCATCTCCAAGAACGACTTCTCCGATTGAACTGAATGGCATGGTTTGTAAATATTAAGTTTAAAGAAAGACAGCAATATGCAGAATCATGTATTGTCTTAAAATAACTGTATTATGCACATTAAAACATGTAGCTCTCTTTTCCGGTGTGATTGCTTTGTTTGATCAAATTAAAAGTCAGGTTTTCTAATTTGGCAGTGCGCCTTATTTCCTTCAACCAAATGAAATTGCTCCATTAAAGCAAATAGAGGCTTGATAATGGTTTGATTCAAGTTTTAATTGGAATGTCATTTTCAGAATATTTCACAATTCTAAGTCTTATTCTTCAATATGGATGATGTTTTCAATAGAGGCTGTGAGTCAGGACTGGATTACAACCCTTGAAGGACTTAAGCAGGTGAAATCCTGATAGAATTTGCAGCCAAGGCCCTGTCTGAGGCAGAAAAGAAGCTGGTAAGAAATATTTAGCTCCTCACAGATGTCCATGGAGAGAAACGCAGAGTGAAAACAGTGACCCCTGAAGAGGTCTGGTCTCAAAGGAAACCTATTCATGGAATGAACACTATTATGGAGGGAATATTATCTCATCCTAAAAAAAAATATGTGTTGTAAATTATAACTCCTCTCCCTGTAGAACTCAACCTTTCATTGTCATCAAGTTGGAACTGATTCATAGCTGACCCTCCAGCAGGTTTTCAGAGGCTGAAATCACTGAGGAGGAGAATGTGCGTCTTTCTCCTGAGGAGAAGCTGGCAAATTTACCCAGTAGCCCACCAGGCCATGAGTGTGTCGGAGAGGATGAGGATGGTACAGGATAGGACAGGGTTCAAATTCATGGTTCATAGGGTTGCTATGAGTCGTCATCTTGACAGCACTTATCAACCTGAATATGAGACCTGAAGGTGTCATCCATGCAGAAATAAGGTTGCTGTCTTAAGAGGCCGTTTTAGTAGAGGATGTATCTTTTATTTTTTTATCATCAAGATTTATTTTAAGACTTGTGTTTTAAACATTGCTCTTTCCAGATTCGGGAACTAGTGTACCAGAGACAGCACTCCACCTGCCGGGCTCCCACCTTGATCCCAGCTATGATTACACATAATGATTCCCAGCTCTGCTCTTTGTGTTAGATTTGCACTTTGTACAGATCCTGTGCTGAAGAGAAGCGACACTGAAGATACAGACATACACAAATTTATATGCATTTGACTAGGATTTCCTTAGAAAGCGATGGATCTTGTTGGTGGAAGAAAACAGCCGACGAACTAGAGAAAATGGATGTTGTTGTTGTTGTTACGTGCCGTCGAGACGTTTGCGACTCATAGCGACCCTATGCACAACAGCCATAAACCCTGCTCTATCCTGCGCCAACCGCACTGCCTCTGACACACCCATCCCGATTACCCCAGTCACCGAATCAATCCATCTCATAGAGGGTCTTCCCCTCCTGCGCTGTCCCTCCACCCTCCCAAGCATGATGTC